AAAAATACTAGTCTTGGAATTTCGAGTGCTGGCAATGATATTGATTGGGTTTTTTTATCATTAGCTCTTAGAATCACATGGACATTTGTACCTCCAACSCCGAATGAATTAATAGAAACCTTATTACCTGGTAATGGTGTTTGCTTATCAACAACCTAAATACATTTAAACGAATTAACATTCAATCYAACTAAWTAAATAAAACAATTTATGTGATGTTACCTTCAGTTCTCCACTAACAAGTTTTGGTATATTATGGTTTAGTGTTTCAAAATTAATATTAGCCGGAATAATTCCTGTTTCCAATGCATAAAKCACCTTGGCTATTGATACTAAACCTGATACTGGTTCAGCGTGGCCTGCATTTGACTTCACCGAACCAATTAGCAAAGGAGTTTTACGGCCAACACAAAACACATCCGAWATGGCATTCAATTCTTGTTTATCTCCAACCTACGTTATTGAGATAATTTCAAAACTATTCGTTAATATAAATTTTATTGACTTACACCTGTTCCTGTTCCATGGGTTTCGACATAATGGACATCATTAGGACTTAAATTAACACGGGCATAAGTATCTTTAATTAGCCTACTTTGCACAGCTTGCGATGGATATGTGGCTCCTTCGATTTTGAACCCATCTGTATTAGTGGACGTTCCTACAATAGTCGCGTATATACGTTTTGCGTCTGATGATTTTCTTATGTAAAGTGCAGCAATAGCTTCACTTCTGACGTAACCATTAGCTAAATGTAAAACACATAAACAGTATAGTTTTTTTTTAAATTCTAGATCATTATAAACTTCAGTACATTCCGTCAACTCAACTAACCGCCAATGTCAAAAGGTCTGCTTGTCCCGGTAGGACTAAGCATGTTATATCGATGGTACATGACTGAAGTCGCTGGTTTTAACAGCAAGTTAGTTCCCGCAACAATTGCAGCATCGCATTGGCCCGTTTTTATTGCAGTTATGGCATCATGTAAACAAAATAGCGCACTTGAACATGCTGTATCAACGGCGACACTTGGACCTGTTTAATTTATTCAAATCTTTGTAACCAACAAATTGGATTAAATTTAAAATTGTATTAATTTATTAATACCGTTAAAATTGAATTGAAATGAAAGTCTGTTAGCTAACATAGATCTTATTACACCAATAGTTTCATATCCAGTCAATTTTTCAGGTGTACGTTCAAAATAATCTGCTGATTCATTGGTCATCATACCAACGTACACTCCCGTTCTTGTTCCACGTATATCATGTGGGTTTACACCTGTTAATTTGAAATTGTATGCCATAAGCCCATAAATAAAACTTAAATTTTTTCTACAAAATACATTTTTCATATTTTTCTAGTACTACACAACAATATGTAATTATGAAATTACCTGCATCAACTATAGCTTCGTGGGTAACTTCAAGTAAAATCCTAAGTTGTACATCCATGGCATTTGCTAGTTTTGAATGAATCCCAAAAAATTCTGCGTCAAACTTGTTTATTTCCTTTAATTTTCCTGACCTTGACGGAACACCATACATTCCTAAGTTATAAGTCATATTAATATATATTGTTAATTCTTTCATCTTAAATTTAATGGTAAATAATTGTTTATACGAGAAAATCACACTWTCAAAGAACAAGTTAATAGTACAGTACTTAGAAGTGTAAGCAACACTACGATCTGAAATTTAATTTACCTGGAGACCATCTTCTGTTATCGTCAGTTAATAAATCAGCGTTATTGTACAATTTTTGTTTAAATTCTTCAGTAGAAACACATTCTGGAAATCGTCCAGCAATACCCGATATCACTAAATCGTATGCTTCCGGCATGCCTGCAAATTAATAAATTGTAATTAATTACATTGATATAGTACCTATTACACGCATTCTAATTGATAAAAATTATGGAGATTAAGATGAACTATGTCCTAGAATAATTTCTTAATCTTWATTTATTTTTAATATTAATTAGATAGCCATAGTTATAGTGAAGGTTAATCATCTTAAAAAATTCTGTTATATTAGATATTATAATTAATTTTTAATTGATTTATCCCTTGATAACAGATTCATTATTAATGAATGAGTGAGGAGAAAAA